TTGAAATTAAATCTATATGCTCTTAGGCATTTTTATTATTGCTTATTTACTGCTGTATCTTCTTTACATCTAGTAAAGTGCCCTGCTCGTAGTAGGCACTCTAGAAATAGGCCCAGATTGCTTTGAATTCATTTATATAGAAAACGTACATGACTTTTAAGATTCTTTCAACCCTGCAGGTTTGGGATCTGTTAGCTTATGTATGTTATGCTTCAAAGTGAATGTTTTTAGGACTAAATAATGGGAAGAGAGAATACTTTTGACGAAAATCGATTTGATGTTTAAGGGCTTTATAGAAAACTCTTCCAAACTGCATCCTTTTAAAATGAATATAACTATTCTTTCATAGGATTTACTTAACTAACCTGAACTAAAAATACCAATCTACATGGTCACAGGTTATGCTAACTGTATGCTAAACAAAAGGTTAAACCCTGTGGGGGAGACATGATTTTAAGGCCTAGTCACTGAATCTCTAGCGGGAGATGCTAAAACCACATTCATCCAAATTGGAATAAACTGAAATATTTTTAAAATATTCATTTGAGTAAATCTCTCTGTGAGAGATTAGCACTGAGGACCAGTGAGTGGAATCTGGCCTGAAAACATTGCAAAATAGCTTTTAGCAGGTAGTGAGACAGGAATAGAATCTGTCAAGGACTGCTGGAGAGAATTTTACCTTGAAAAGTGTATTTATTTATTTGCCAAAATTATTAATACCTACTGTGTGCTAAAAACTTTGTACTCATTTCTCCTCATTCAAAGAAAATTAAGCTCTTAACTATATGAAAAATCTTTCAAACTATTGGGAAATACAAATTTATATACTTATTCTTTTATATTATAAAACCTGACATGTACATCAAGTCAGCAGGATATTTTTTAAAAGGTCTGAGATGTCTGAAAATGGAATGATTAATAATTCTTCCCCGAGGAATTAAAGCAAGCTTTGGAGAGTGGTGCCATTTGAATTGAAATGTGTAAGATGGGCAAGATTTCGAGTGTGAATGAAGTTTGTATGCATGTATGAGTGTTGGGGGGGTGACAATTTTTAGCCTTAGCAAGTGACTAATAACTGGTGTGCAGGGTTTGCTTCTAGATGTGAATCTGGAAAAGACAGATTGGATCCATACATTACGGATGGTCAGAAACTCTTTGTTGTTCCTCTCATGAATAGGTAGTATATATTTTCATATACCTTGAATTTGAGAAGACTTGCTTTGATGAAGAGAATGAAGGGGAAGTGATATTGTATTAGTTTCGAGCCCAGCCTCCAGAAGCCTTACAACCTCGAAGCCATACAACCTTTGGCCTCACACTCTTGAAGCTCTTCAATGGCCAAAAATGGAATGAGGTCATTATAGATTATTTAGCAGCTGACAATTACCAATACATTGTCTAGGTGAGTAAGCCCAGGTGAGATCAGTAGAAGAACAGCCCAGTTGATCTTAGCCCAAACTGCCAATCCTTAGAATCATGAGTTGAAAAATGATTATTGTTTATAAATTGCTAAGTTTAAGTGCTTTGTTGCTCAAGAAAGGTAAGCTGACTTTATTGATGGTCTACAATATGATACCTGATTGTTTGGATTTTATTCTTCAAAGAGTGGATGGCTCTGATATACCAGCAATGAACAAGTGGAATTTGAAATAAAAAACACACTGCAATTTACATTAACACTACCGAAATTCAATGCTTAAATATAAATCAAACAAAATTGGTACAAAATCTATATGAGAAAAACTACTCTGATGAATTAAATCAAGTGAGAACTAGATAAGTAGAGATAGTCCGTGTTCATGGACAGAAGACTCTATATTGCAAAGATGTCAGTTCTTCCCAACTTGATTTACAGATTCAATGCAATCGCAATAAAAATTCCAGAGAGGTTTTCTGGGTTTTTTGTTTTTTTGTGTGTGTTTTTTGGTGGATATCAACAAACCATTTTTAAAGTTTATATTGAGAGGCAAAAGACTTGGTAGCCAACACAATTTTGAAGAAGAACAAAAATGACTGGCACTATCCAATTTCGAGATTTGCTATAAAGCTACATTAATCAAGACAGTGTGGTATTGGTGAAAACATAGACAAATCGATCAAAGGAATAAACTAGAGATCTCCCAAATAGACCTATATAAATATAGTCAACTTATCTTTGATAAAAGAGTAAAGGCAATACAATGGAGCTTTTTTTTTTTTTTAATGGAACAAATTGTTCTGAAACAACTGAGCATCCACATGCAAAAAAATCAATCTGGACACAAACCTTATACCTTTCACAAAAATTAACTCAAAATGAATAACAGACCAAAAAACAATGGATCACAGACCTAAATGTAGGATGAAAAACTACAGATCTCTTAGATTGAAGATAACAGAAGAAAACCTAGTTACCTCGAGTATGATAATGAATTTTTAGATGCATCACCAAATACAATATCCATGAAAGAAATAATTGATAAGCTGGACTTCATCAAACTTTTTAAAAAACGAAATACTTCTGGGGCACCTATGTGACTCAGATTGTTAAGTGTCTGCCTTCAGCTCAGGTCATAATCCCGGGGTCCTGGGATTGAGCCCCACATGGGGCTCTCCACTCAGCAGAAAGTCTGCTACTCCCTCTCCCTCTGCCCCTCCACCCATTTGTACTCTTTGTCTCTCTCTCTCAAATGAATAAATGAAATGTTTAAAAAAATGATAAACTTCTACTCTGTGAAACACAATGTCCAGAGAATGATAGAACAAGCCACAGACTAGGAGAAATTTTTGCAAAAGAAGTGTCTGATAAAGGACTGTTATCCAAAATATACAAAGGATTCTTAACATTTAGCAATAAAAAACAAACAACCTGATTAAAAACTGAGCCAGTGACCCTAACAGACATGTCGCCAAAGAAGTTATACAGATGGAAAAAAAAAAAAAGAAGTGAAAAGATAGTTCACATTAGTAATCAGGGAAATACAAATAAAAACAATGAAATACTGGGGCGCCTGGGTGGCTCAGTGGGTTAAGCCTCTGCCTTTGGCTCAGGTCATGATCCCAGGGTCCTGGGATCGAGCCCCGCATCGGGCTCTCTGCTCAGCAGGGAGCCTGCTTCCCTCTCTCTCTCTGCCTGCCTCTCTGCCTGCTTGTGATCTCTGTCTGTCAAATAAATAAATAAATCTTTAAAAAAAAAAACAACAACAATGAAATACTACAACAAACCTATTAGAATGGCCCAAATCTGGAACACCAGCAATACCAAACAAAGCCGAGGTGTGAAACAATAGGAAGCCTTATTCGCTGCTGACAGAAATGCAGAATGGCACAGCTACTTTGGAAGACCATCTGATGGATCCTTCCGAAACCAAATATAATCTTACCGTATGATCCAGCAATCACATTCCTTGGCATTTATCCACCCAAAGGAGTTGAAAACTTACGTCCCCACAAAAACCTGTACGTGGATGTTTCCAGCAGCTCATTCATAGCTGCCATAACTTGAAAGTGACCACGTTGTCATTCAGTAAGGTGAATGGACAAACTGTGAGACATCCAAACAAAGGAATATAATTCAGCACTCAAAGGAAATGAGCTATTCAGCCGCAAAAATACATGGAGGAAACTTGAATGTATTTTACTAACTTAAAGAAGCTAATCTGAAAAGTCAATATACTATATAATTCTGACTATGTAATGTTATGGAAAAGGCAAACCCTTATAGATAGTAAAAAGATCAGATGCGTCAATGTGGGTCCATCGATTGTAGCAAATGTACCTCTCTGGTGCTGGACGTTGATAGTGGAGGAGGCTAGGAATGGATGGGACAGGGGGTACATAGGCAATCTCTATACCTTCCTCTTGGGTTTTCTGTGAACTTAAACCACTCTAAGAAAGTCTTTAAAAAAGTGGCAATCTTGGAGTGCCTGTGTGGGTCAGTTGGGTAAGCATCTGACTCCTGATTTCAGCTTAGGTCATGATGTCATGGTCCCTAGGCTCCATGCTCAGTGGGAAGTCTGCTTGAGATTTTCTCACTCCCTCTCCCATTTCCCTTTCCCCTGCTTGCTCTGTCTCTCTCAAATAAATAAATAGATCTTTATTTAAAAAGTGGGGAGACTTAAAATTACTATGTAATGCAGTTGTGTCCATTTACCTGCAAACTTAAAAGGCATAGCAGTTACTGTCTAAACTTTTTCTGTTTTGCTAAGTTCCTAGGCTGTCCTTTCTTGGCCCTGTGGCTAGAGAGAGCAGGACTCTGTGTGTGTGTGTGTGTGTGTGTGTGTGTGTGTGTGTGTGTGTTTTGTCTGCACCTGAAACTCTTTCTGGGTTCCTGGGTACTTCTTCAGCTCCAAGATTGGGGTATATGATCAAAAGAAAACCCAGGAAACTCATCACCATGTTGTTCTTTGGGTCCCAATATCCCTACCTACCTTTCCTTCTTCTCTCAGTCTTTCAGAGTCTCTTAAGTGTGTTTATATAGATCTAGGGTTTTTAGTTATATTTAGTGGGAGAAATTGGGAAAAATAGGTCTAGTCCACTTCAAACTTGAATATCTCACAATTAACTTTTACATCTTGTTCTGATTTTAGTACTCAATATGTTTCCATTTACAATAACAACAATAAGACATCAGATCACAAGTTGAGTGTCTACTGTAGCAAACAAACACGTGGACTCCATAAATACTCAAAGAGTATATATGTGAGCCCCAAAATACATTTACTCTCCATAAATACTCAACTTCAGCATCAGCTTTGAGCACTTTTGGCTTTTGGTGATCCTCCAGATTTTATCTCCTGATTCTTTGGAAAAGAAGATTTATACATCAGTTTTAGCCTGACTCATATTTAAGTCTGGAGTCTCCTTTTGTTTAGGGAAGAACCTCCATTCTAGCTACCTTCCTTGATACCCTTATAACCCCAAATGTGGCCAGCCAGATTCTAGCCTCTGGTGAAGCATAATGGTTTGGGAGAATCAGACCATAAGTTTCTTCCCAAGAGTAATAGCTGGTAATTCATATTTCTGACTGTGTCGTTAACCTTTGAGCCAAATACTTGGTGTATGGTAATTGTTCAATGGACTATTATTGAAATGGGTTCTTATTTCCTAAGGATAGATGAAATAGTCCACATTTACTAAATTCCTTCCATTGCAATTCTGCTTGAAGTTCTATGTTGGGAAAAAACAGACCGGGGTGTAAAGTGTTTTTCAGATCTATTCGCTGTCCATCACTTGCTGGGCTTTGTATCACAAGGGGATCACCTCTATAAATTATATTTCCAAGGCTCCTTTACCAACTGGTTTCCATTCATATTAGAACAATGGAAAACATCTGCTGGGATATTGGGAAGCTAAGATCATGCACCTCCCTCCCCTTCCTTTTTGTTTTGGGAGACATCTGTGGAAGTGATCGTGACTCTTTAGTGGCTAGAGTTCTTACTGGACAACTTGTTCATCTGTATTCCAAGTTCTCCATCTGTTAGCCTTGGTTCCTGGATTCTAGTAAGACCACCACTTCCCCTTTTCCCTCTATCTCCAAGAGCGGTAGTAGTGATGCTTTTCTTCAATTACATCATTTAAGTCTTCTTTATAATAATATCATCCCCATTATCCCTAAGATCACACAGGTCATAAGTGGTAGAGGTGGGATTTGATCTGTGCCAATCCAATCACCAACTTTTTTCATTTAACCAGCATGTTACAGCCATATCAGGCCTTGGAAAGACTCCCAACCTTCCCAAAAGGAAATGCAGAATTTGAGAGTAGCTCTTTCTTGAAAGCCTGATAGTTAATTCAAGCTCAATCACATATCTGTGTTTTCTTTAATAGTCCACTGTAGATGGTATTTTATATAATAGTAGATTGAGACATCTAAGAATACCTAAAAATGTATGTAGATTAAAACGTTTTTGAGTTAATAATGCTTATCTCCTTGTAGTATTAAAGAAATACCAGTGCTACTCAACTTTTGTTTTAACCCACCACAGAGGTGGACCTCTACAATTCTTGAAGATATTTTTACCTTCTCTCTCAGCCTCTTTCTTAGTGAAATTTCATATTATGTATTTCTTTCTGTAGGGATGGTGAGGCAAAAACTATAGCCTGTGGTAAGAAAGCTCATTTCCATACATGCAATCAGGAAGAAAGCTTTTGTCATTCAGGCTAAACTTTCCACTTGCTATTGACATTTTTGTCTCTTAATTTGTAGGAGGTAACTTCCCAATTGTTTTTAGAGAAGCTTTCAATCTGGTTGTCAGCCAGACTAGAAGTTTAGTGCATTCTCAACTGAAGTCTTTTTCTCTTGTGGGTTAAGGGTTTATTAATCAATCCCAGGGCTATCTGGATTGGACTCTATATCCATTTTGAATTATGTTAAAATTCTAACTTGTCAACATTACAGTTGAACATATCATTCTCCAGCTTGGGATTTTAAAGGAACATGGAGGACAACGTGATAATTGAGTATTTTTAAAGAAGAGTCAACAGAAATCGAGGAATTCTAATATATTTTCCTTTTTTTAATAAATACATAAAGCTTTTTACCATTTCCCTCAATTATTTTGATTAACACGATAATAGGATCTTTCAGAGCATCATTAGACCAATTTTCACAGCCTGATGTAAGGACTCATTTCACAGAAATAATCATGACTAGCATTAATAGATGAATGTCAGTGCCATAACACAACAGCATAAGGCATATTTACACCATCTGAACATACAGGACACCATACACATACACAAAAATATCACAGATCCAGAACAAATAAAATCAATCTCCTAGACAGTTTACATTTACAGGCTTTGCCTAAAACACTTTTTTTTTCTTAATTTTTTTGTAATTTTTTCTTTCCAAGCAATAAACAAATCTTCCCTACGTCTTGTGATTTATTTGTTACATTGTGTTCATGCAAAAATAATAACTTGTTTTATTGCATTAACATTTAAACAGTTTTGGATTTGGGTCCCCCAAACCATCATCGAACATTTCACTCGATGTTGCTTCACCCATGTTGTCATTTTCGTTGGAGCGACACGACGATTTGTTTTCGGCGAGTTACAAAATGACAAACATATCCGGTCGACCACAGTTCAAAACACCAAGATTCGAAGCTTCTTGATCATGCACATTTTACTTTCATTCTTGCAAAATGGTTTGAATCAGATATGCCATTTTGAATTCACATTTGTTTTTTATTCTTTCTTCAAAATCCTATTTCTAAAAACAACAACAACAAAAAAGAATGAAAGAAAAGACTGTCCCACGTCCACTGTTCACAAAAAGGAAGAGCAGCAAGAATCACACTGACCATTGTTAGGATATAGTCAGGCGGCAACGCTGTAGTAAACATCGAACGTCACTGAAACACGGCAGGAACGTGACGATTACTATAAGCCGTACTTCTGCAACAGTTCAGACTGCCACTGGCGTTTGCGCTCTGGAAAATAATCTGGAATGTGGATTTTTTTAAAATCCTGAATACACTTTTTCATTTCTTCTTCCACACTTAGCTTCTCACAGACTTTCTTTTTGGATAGATTCGTTTCCCGGGACTTGCTGATGAGTGTCTGAAAGAGTTCACTGTTTCGGCGTTTGTCTGGTGGGGGCATCCATTGCGCAGGTGCCTTTTTGGAAGGGCGATCCAATGTTAAGGTGTTGGGTTGGTGAGCTGTTGCCTGCTGGGCACTGGGTGGGTTGTCCTGGGGAGTGCTGGCCTCTGAGTGGCTGTCACAGCTGGAAGTGGAGAGCTCATTACAGGAAGTCCCACTTTCACTTCCTTTATCTGTGACTTTGTCATGTTTCCTATCTTCATGTTCTTGGTTAGGTGACACTACTTTCTGAGGTGGTCCTAAAAAGAAAAGAAAAGAAAAAAAAAAAAACAAGAAGAATAATTAAATGAGTAGTGGGAAGGTCAAATTAAATAAGCTTTATATTTTTAAAATTTTAACCCAAGAACATTTATCTTCAAAAAAAAATCACTGTTTGTTGCATTAATTTATATTTGAGGGATTAAATACGACACCTAGCTTTATTAATGCACATTGAAACATGTGTGATGCTGATTAATTATTTATAGAATCGAGTTTAGGGGCTTTGTTAATGAGCATTTCTGCCATAAAAAATCATCAATAACTTTATGCTGGGGGCGCCTGGGTGGCTCAGTGGGTTAAAGCCTCTGCCTTCAGCTCAGGTCATGATCCCAGGGTCCTGGGATCGAGCCCCGCATCGGGCTCTCTGCTCAGCGGGGAGCCTGCTTCCTCCTCTCTCTCTGCCTGCCTCTCTGCCTACTTGTGATCTCTGTCTGTCAAAGAAATAAAAAAATCTTAAAAAAAAAAAAAGAAAAAATAACTTTATGCTGAAAAGAAGATTTTTGTTATTTTAGTTACTAGTTCCTGAAATCTAAAAAGATATTATATGTACATATTTTGTTAGTCCCATAACTGTTTCATGAGACATTTAGTTCATTTTTGTTCTACTTATTGGCTAGGAGTCCTTTATGTATATATCTACATTATAAAAGCAGAAAGTTCCATTGCTCTATTTTACATAGTAGGACTCTTCAGGTTCAGAGGCTCAATAACCTCATTTATGTTTCCAAGTGGGAGATTGGTTTAAATCTCATCCTCAGTCTCTTAATCTTGTTTTCTGTCTATTTCCTTGAAGAGAATTATGAAAGTGAGGCAAGATATACATGTGCCTAATAGTATGATGAAAAAATAAAATTGAAATACAGTATTTTCTTAAAATACAAGGTTTACCATTTGAGGTAAATTACCTAGGAAGACAATTTTCAGAAAGTGATAGCCAAGATAATTATTTCAAATACACAAACAGTTTACTTCCAAGAGGGAGCATATTTTATTCTTCTTGCCTCTGCTTTGGGATTAGGACCTCCATTTAACATTTACTGAATGCTACCAGATACACAGAACTATAATAAACCCTTGATTAACTAAAGCCCAACCACTGAGAAATATGTTACTCAAATCTTATTTTTTTTCCTGTAGTCAACTTTTATAAACAGGTCATATAAATCAGAATGGGTAGTGGGGAAAGGCATCAGTATTTTTAAGCAATTGCCCAGAAGATTCTATTGTGTAGCCAGAGTTGAGAACAATTGGTCTGATCTATAGGATCTCAGGTTTGACCACATATGGAATTATCTGGAAAGCTTAGATTATTGATGCCTTGGTCTTAACCCTAACATCCCACTATAATCAGATGCTATCAGGCCTTTGGGCCATTTAATAGAACTAGGTGATTTCAATCTGTAGCCAAGATTATGAATCTTTCCTCAGTCTAATATATAGTAAATGAATTATATATAGTAAATAATAATAAATATATAATATATAGGGGTGCCTGGGTGGCTCAGTGGGTTAAGCCTCTGCCTTCGGCTCAGGTCATAATCCCAGGGTCCTGGGATCGAGCCCCATACCATCGGGCTTTCTGCTCGGCAGACAGGGAGACTGCTTCCCTCCTCACTCTCTGCCTGCCTCTCTGCCTACTTGTGATCTCTGTCTCTTAAATAAATAAATAAAATCTTTAAAAATATATATAATATATAATTATATATGACATATATAATTCTATATAACATTATAAAATATAAGTTTATGTAATATATATAAAATATAAGTACATGTTATATTAAATAATATAATCTATAATATAAATAATAAATATAGTAAATAAGTATAGTAATATTTAGTAAATCAGTCTAAGATATAGTAAAAAATACTTTATAATACTCAGAAAAGTGGGGACACAAATCAACTTTTATAAAAAAAGTACTTGCCATAAAAACATCTACTATCTGTAACATTCTATTGGGCAATATTACCAATTTTCCTATTTACAATAAGAAGCAAAAGTGGATACCAAATATTTAAAAGGATGAAGTTTGACTTGGGTGGGATTAAAGATTAAAAAATGCTTTGGAACTTTTTGGAATGATGGAAATATTCTATATCTTGACTGTAGTGTTAGCTCTAGGACAGTATACATTTGTGAAAATTGACAGAATTGTGTAACTAAAATGGGTACCTTTTGTTATGTAAACTGTATCTGAATTGACATAACCAAAAACAAACAAATAAAAAAAAATCCTCAAAACTTTAAAGAAGATGTACATGTTTGAGGGAAGGTCTTAACTAATATTTCATTCTTCCCTTGTTCACAATACAGTAAAACTCTAAGAAAGGACACCAATACATTTCAAAAATATCACAACCATGGATTAAGGAGCACAAAACCTAACAGCTATTTTTTTTTTTTTTAAAGTCTCTGCCATTTTCACTTAGGGTAAGAGAGAATGGGGGTGGGTCTGAGGGATGGGGGCAGAGAAGATGTACTGATTAACACTCTTTGCTTACTAAGCCAGATCCATTCTCAACATTCCTTTCTCCTTAGCGGCTGATGGGCACAACTATGTCCTTAGGCTCCCTTGCCTTCTGGCTTTCAGTTGAATTCAGCCAATGATAAAGACTAGCAAGACCGTGCCCTCATCCCATCCTGCCCCCAGGATTTTAGGATCTCACTGTATTCCTGGACCAAGAGGCATAGCCCTGTCTGGCAGCTCTGTCCTCTCTCCCTCTCCCTCCCTCCTTCTGGAACCTCTCTTTCCATAGTCTATTAAACAGAGGTTCACATCTTCAGGCCTACAGTGTTCACCATGTCCACTGTAATAGGCATGAGGGTACTGCCACTCTGTTGTAAACTGTCAATATTTAACTTTTCTCAAATTACCCAACTGGATATGCCTTCTCTTTCTTCTGACACCCTGACTAATAGACCCACACTGGCATTAGCCAACTTCTCCAGCATTACTTGTAGGATCAGTGTTTCAGTGGCATCAGATTTTAGTGGTAATGATATTGAAATGGAAATGGGTTTAAAGCCCTAGTGATCTGGAATCAAATTCTAGCTCTATGGAAAATAGTCTAGTGGCCTTGAGCAAGGTACATAGCTCCTCTAAGCCTCAATTTTCTCATCTGTAAAGTGGGGTAATAGTACTTTCCCCATAGGTTGAGATCAAATGAAATACCATATAAAATGGTCTAATAAAATAAATCTCAACAATCAGAGTGCATCATTGTAATTTTTTTTCTAATGTGCAGATGTTTAGGGACATCTCTGAAGATTTTAAGTTTGCTCAAGAGTTTGCATGTATGTGTTTATGTGGAGCTCAGGGTGGTGGAGGAGGTGTAGCATCTATTTATCTAATTATCTTTATGGGTGAGTGTGACCTCACGCTAGCATGAGGCCCACTGGTCTACTCCAAAATAGGATATAAATAAATGCTTTTTACCTCTTATGTCTGTCTCCTGCATTACTTTAACCAGAAATCCCCACAGAAGAATGTGTGATTTTCATTCTCAATAATGACTAAAAGATTAACTTCAAATACCTGGAAAACCAATTTATATCTAAGGATAATTGAGTGATGAGAAATCATTTTTCTGTTAATAGGCTGGGGAGGCTGGGGAATAGAGCATTTGATAGAGATACCAAGGCAGAAAAGTAACATCAGAATGGAAAACAGCATGGAAAAAGGGTATTAGGTACCACCAGAGCAAATATTTCATTCTGCTTTTATTCACTGGGAGAAAGATGCTTAATGACATATGCTGGGGAGTTATATAAAGTTCATGTGTTAGCTAACTAAATAACATATGATTATTATGCCTAATGGCATTACAATTTATTCATGGAAATAAGCTTCCTCCCAGTCCTCCCAATATATACACAGATGAATGCAGAAACTCCACAGTACAATAGAATGCAACGTATGTACATCAGAAATGAATTGCTCTTGGAGTACAGGACAGAACACCCAGGAAGACTTCTGTGAAGGAAGCACTAAGCAGTTTAGCCAGTGAAGTGGTATGGAATATCACTATGAGCCAGGCACTGTGTTAGGATCTAGAGGAGGCTCACAGTAAGTTCTCTGGTGAAGCTCACAGGCTATTTTTTTTTTTTTTAAGATTTTATTTATTTATTTGACAGACAGAGATCACAAGTAGACAGAGAGGCAGGCAGAGAGAGAGAGAGGGAAGCAGGCTCCCCGCTGAGCAGAGAGCCCGATGCGGGACTCGATCCCAGGACCCTGAGATCATGACCTGAGCCGAAGGCAGCGGCTTAACCCACTGAGCCACCCAGGCGCCCCCTCACAGGCTATTTTATGATATTTTATAACACTGAGTGTTTAAAATGCATGAACACTTTAGAATATCTCCCACTACAGACTTTAAATTCTGAAAAAAAGAATGTGGGAAAATGAATTTATTATGATCTTAAGAACATCTTTTTTAAGAACTTAGAATAGATCCAATTATTAACCAGAAACAGCAAATACACACTTTTATTTCTCACTTCTTCTATATCATAAATTATCTTTAGGTAAGTCTGGCTCAGATGTTTGGTTCAGCTATTTCTATTATGACTTAAAGGAAAAGGTTTAACTTTATCTTGTCCACCCTTTTGAATGTCCAGAATATTAGGACGGTTTTCTGTACAAATCACCAGCAGGAACAAATAGTTTCCTTTTGATTAATGTCAGAATTTTTGATAATGCATAACACATTATGTATTATTACTGAAATCTGGTTAAGCATATTTTAAATAAGTAGTGATAACTTAGTGGATTCAAACTGGAGCTAAGATACAATAATAAGATGATTTATGGGCTTTTTATGACATGAAATTTAAGAAAAATGAACAAAATACATAGGAAGTAATGATTTACTCTATTTGCTTAGTTTCTTGAGAATGCCTGCTAATTGCAGGCTTCCAGGGATAATTTAAAACTCTAATTTTACATTATTCCATTCAATGAACCAAAGCCAT